ATTACATCGAGAACCTTTAGGGAAATAAGCCCTATGGATTTTTATAATGTTGAAATTAAGAGGTGTTTGGATTGGCTTCAAAGCTGGTCAAACCAGCTTAAAAGCACATTTTGTCTTGTTCCAGTGTTTGGCAAACCTAAAAACAACTTTTAAGCCAAATACTTTTAAGTTGAATTAAGCCAAAAGCCACAAGCTTGGTATATCCAACTTATTGCTTTTTCACTTAACCAAATAATTAACCTTATTATCCATCCTTTTTTTTATATAAATTACAAAATACCCTTACTTTATTAATTAAGTCATAACGTCATTTTTTTTCCATCTCCCATTCTGAGGTTGCAGGTATCTTTCTTCACATTATTATAATAAATAAGTAGCTTTATTTTTTCTGTTATAAGTAATTAATAAGACCCTTAATTACCTGACATTAGACAAATGTGAGAACTAGCCGAGGAAAAAAGAAAGAAACGATGCAAAAGGCTGAGGCATTAGTTTTATTGGCATTAATTCGTTTTTTTCATTTCACTCTAGAAATAAATAGTTTTATTTTTTAGTTGAATATTCAGAACTAAAGCATGTTACAATTCTATTGGAATTCAGTTTATATTTATTAAAAATAATCTTATTTGATTAATTTAATTTAGAGTTAATTAAGACATAAATTAGTTCGTATTTGAGTTAATTTTACATTAAGGATGTCGTAGTAATAAGCTTATTTTTAGTGTTAACAGCTTTACGAATATTTCGGTCATTTTAACAGAAAAAGTGTTTACTTGCACTTGTTTATCAAACACTTCAACAACTTTTTTCAGCTTCAGCACTATTATCCAAACACATAATTACTTATTTAGAGGGTGTTTGGCTAAGCTTATAAGCTGGTTAAACTGATTTATAAGCACTTTTTGGCTTACCTACGCATTTGATAAATACCCAAAATGCTTATAAGCCAAGTGCTTATAAGTTAAAATCAGCCATAAGTCATAAGTTGGTTACCCCCAACTTATGGCTTTTTAGCTTATAAACACTTTTAGATTGACTGTTTGACCAAGGCTTTTACTAGTTTATCCTTAATAATATTTTCTAATTTACAAAATATTTTTTACAAAATCAATTTTCTAACTTTCTTTTCATTCCATATTCATTGTTCATCTTTTTCTTTACAAAGAAATATTTTAATTTATAACCTTTTGTAAAGTTTTTAAGGATATTTTAGTCATTTTAATAAAAGAACAACTTATCAACACTTTTCTACCAAACACATCAACTATTATTAGTTTCAGCACGTCTATCCAAACACGTAAATACTTATTTAAAAAATCAGTTTCAACACTTAAAAATAATTTTCAGCACTTCAAGCTTATCAGCTATTTACAATCAGCTAATCCAAACGGGCTCTTAGAAAACAAGCAAAAGTGCTTTTAAGCACTTGTTCTTAAAAATCACTTTTTTAAGCCAATCCAAACAGGCTCTAAGAAATTATTTTTTAAGATCTCTTATGTGTAAAATTAAAATTTTCATGTGTAAAAGTGAAAATTACGCGACACGTCAAACATATACACTATATTTACCATCTGTAGCTATACTTTCAGCAAATTTACCATTCATAGTTATATTTGAATTTTATAACAAATTCATCAAACGAGAGATTAATTATTTTGAACTGAAATAAGAGAGCAACAAGCTCTCGTAGCTTAGTTGGTTAGAGCGTCCGCTTAGTTAGCGGATGTCTTGAGTTTCTATATTTTTGTATTTCGTCTTAGTTGTATTCGTTGCGTGTTTAAATACAGTCGATACGGGTTGTATCCTTTGTATACATCCTTGTATACAGTCGATGTTACACTTGATACATGTTATGTTTGTTGCGCGAACGAATATAGTTGATACATGTTGTATTCGTAATACAATTGACACAAGTTATATTCGTTGCACGTTTGAATACAAGCGATATAAATTAGTAATAATTGAACAATTACTATGAATAATAATTAGGGAAATTATGATTTTAAAAAAACAAAAAATAAGTTGCCCCGAACATTACAATGGAGTAACAAAAACTAAAAATAAATTTGTAACGGTCCATCAGACCATTTGCCCCGACATATAGAACATCTAATCATAATTTTAAGAAGTATTGATAATTTAAAGTTTTGGAGATGTAGCACCTGATTTCGTAATGCAGATTGGTTTAACCTTTTACAGAGCAAGTCAATTTTAACGGCGATACTAAAATTACTGTGTGCACAAATAGTGCACAAACTATTCCTGTATAGGTTTATCTCCACCAGCTTATGGTGTAAACGTGGCAAAACAAACTCCACAGCATACTTCCCTGATCTGCCGCCACTCATTTTGCAGCAAACAAAACCCCTTTCCCAAGTCTTCTGATCGTCTCTTTCCGAATTCCCACATGAAACTTCCTCTTTTCTTCCCTTATATGTAACAATTCACAGCCCCCATTTACTATCAAAACATTCTCAAATTCCATTTTCAATAACTAATTTCCCATTCCATCACAAAAATGGGCATGATTTTGGGTAAGATCTGTGTGGAAACACCAAAATACGAGTTGATTCAATCTACAGCTGACTACGAAATCCGCAAATACCCAGCATCTGTTATAGCACAAGTCACATATGATCCAACCCAGTTCAAAGGAAACAAAGACGGTGGGTTTATGCTATTAGCCAATTACATCGGCGCACTGGGCAATCCTCAAAACGCTAAGCCTGAAACAATCGCCATGACAGCTCCTGTAATCACCAAATCGTCCGAAAAAATCGCGATGACTGCACCAGTAGTGACTAAGAATGGTGACGGAGAGAGCAATATGGTGACGATGCAGTTTATTTTACCTGCAAAGTATACAAAAGCTGAAGAGGCACCTAAGCCGTTGGATGAGAGAGTGATGATTAAAGAAGAAGGTGAAAGGAAGTTTGGTGTGGTGCAGTTTAGTGGGACTGCAAGTGATAAAGCGGTAAAAGAGAAAGTGGAGAATTTAAGGAAATGTTTAGAGAGAGATGGGTATAAGATAATTGGTGATTATGAGTTGGCTAGGTATAATCCTCCTTGGACAATTCCTCCATTTAAGACCAATGAAGTTATGATTCCAGTTGAGTGAGCTGAAAATGGTGTAGTAAAGAAAAACATGAGACTGCTGTGAAGCTAGCTCGTGACATGAACCTACTTTATCTGGTGTTTATTATTGAATTGTGTATTTCTTGTTTATATGTTTACGCTGTTGACAATGTCTTTGCATACACTAGTGTCAATTATTCATAGTTATAATTAGCACATATTTTGTCTTATTTTTATACTTTGCCATAGTAAAGCAGTAAAACTGATGCAGTTTTGCAAGCATCTAATGTGGTAAGTCCTTATTCTGATCTATATTTTCACTTCAAACTCCGCTCACCAGTGTGAAGTGATGCACAAAATATTTTGTATTCACGCAGGGTCGGGTAAGGGCCGCACCTCAAAGGTCTGATGTAGATAGTCTATCCTAATCTCAGCATTAGTGACTGCTTTCACGACTCGAACCTATTGGTCACATGGAGATAACTTTACCTTTCCTCAACTTTTCCTTTCTTAATTATTTGTCGTGCGACTTTATCTCAACTTGAAGCCTGTATCTTCAGTTTTTTCCATTCTTTCGTATGTGATGTTAAGTACTTGATATTAGTTGGGCACCGGTGAGTTGTGATGATGATAGAGATGTGGCGTGAGATGTTTTTCCCATGTGTATGAGGCCAGACTACTATTGTCGCTTTGAGGAGAGGTTCGGTCTATTTCAGCCCCGGTGTTGCCCACGAGTTAGGGGCCAACGTCCCCTTCACAAGTTAAAATATACTGTTGTCCAATTGAGCGTTAGTTATTCATTTGCCAATTATGGGAAAAAGAAAAATTCCAATATGGAAAGCCTGTGTAGCATATGATATGAGATTCTTTCTTTCTCAGAACTCTCAGTTCGCTGCCCCATCTCAAGCAGTTCAACCATTTGGTTCACCACTTCATCCAAGCGTAATTATCATACAAAACACTGTATAAATGTTAATTACATAGATGTATATTGACCTAGTTGCTTGTGAAGCAGATACAATGCAAGATATCATGACAAGTTTCATATCACACGTTAGAATGTTGTTTTAATCGCGTTCCCGAGTTAAAACAATAGGAAAAAGACAAGTGTTCTGTTAGTTTTATCCTTTTGGGAACTGAGAGTACCTTATTGTAACAAATTTTAAGATATTTTGGCCTTATTCTTGCAGCCTAAATTAGTCCATTTCAATTCTTAAGTTTTGACATCTCCATCTATGATTTTGATTGTATGGATGAACACTTAATTAGTTTTCATTATTGTTCTTCCCTCTTTATATTCTTTTGTTGCAGCACCATATTATTGATAGTCTCACTTCAAGCTGGAACGGCAAGATATGAAGTTAAAACACTGTCAAGTTTCCACATTAATAGTAACTTGTTAGATTCAGCCACTTGTTGATTGTGTTATAATAAACATGCTCTCAAGTCTCCTTTTAGCAAAATGTAAATGACTGTATAGCAACGGCAAAGTTGTCTTCATGTGACCTATAGGCCACGGGTTCGAGCCGTGGAATCAACCACTGATGCTGCCTCGCACTCTGCGTAAACTTAGTACTAAAACTTAGTACTAAAACTTAGTACTCCGTAAATAAGGGGATTTTGCAGGTCCGCGGACCTCTCAATGCCACATTCGTATGAGTGACTTCTTTCAAGAAAACAATCTCCGTTAGTACCAATGTTTTTTCTTGGTTATTTTTCTTTCTCCTAACCAGAAACTGCTTAACTTACTGGAGAACTTGAATCTTTAGTAAACGTCATAACATAATCATGTGACTTGTTTAAATTCACTATCCTATCCAACATCAACGCAATGATCACAATCCTATTTAAAGTAGATTTGATTGACATCATAGCACAAAACTGGAAACATAATGGCGTATGAATCTTTCCAAATTTAACCAGTACCTTACTTGATGAATAAGTTTTGTTTAGGACCAGAATCTGTTGGGCTCAAGATACGGATGCAGGTTCAACGATAAGAAAGCATTATCAGACTAAAGTAAATGTCGGGCTTGCCTCCAGTTGTCGTCACTGCTATTCTTAGTAATAGCATAATGTTGCTTTATGTATTTTGAGTACGTTATAAAGGAACAAGAGCAAATCCAAACTCTGAATTATGGTCCCGCATCTGCTTTATTAGCTTTCTGTCTATATCAAAATCAACAGATGATGTCTGGTTACGTTTCTATGTATTACAAATCTAGCAGGTTCATATCCAACTTCACTTCTATAGTGCAAGAAAATGAGAAATGAGAAATAATGACTAACTAAAACTGTATTGTCTGAAACAACTTATGTTTCTAGATGATAGAATCACAGTATTCAACGTAGTAGCAGAGCAGGTTATAATAAAGTAAGTGAAGTGTAGTCTCCTTTAAGTTTTTAGATAAGATGATCACACAATTCAATAAATGGAACACAAGTTTTGTGCATCTTATATAACCTTTCAAAATTTTGTCTTTCTTAACGTATTTTCAAGCACAAGTCTACGGTAATCTACCTGTTTCCTTAACGTTTCCAAAATAGACGCTAATAGAGATGTGCTGAAGCTTATATTTCTTTCATTCTTCTCTACTACTTATATGGTCCTTAACATATCAGCAAAAAGGAAACAACTAATCATCTGTATTTAGGTTTGCTTGGTTTTGGTTCGTAGCGTGAAGAGTTAATAATATAAAGAGTTTCTTGACATTATATAGAATTTCGGAATAAGAAATATTATCTATGCATAATCATAGCAGCTGGAGTAATGCAAACAGTTACTAAGTAAATCTTTCAATCCATAATGGAATGAGAAGGAAAAGACAGACAAATATGAAGATGAAGAACTCAGCAACCGTGTACAAAGACGTGTATAATAATTTTCGTAAATTGTTACATATGAATCTGTGGAAAACCTAATAAATAAACTAATTACAAAAACCAAATCATAATAAATACTAAGAAAATGAATAAAATTCTATACTGCACAGTAAAGAATGATTTGAGTACCTGTATTGTATCTGCCTCTTTTACTAGCCACCGTCTCTGCTTCCAAAGTTGCTTGCTGGCTTAAGATTTGTTAATCAAAGTAATTCATATGGTGAAATTCCTCTTTGATTCTGCTTGCTGCCTAATATACTAAAATGCATAAAAGGCCAAAATTTTGGCAGCCCCTTGAATATATTGTAAGATCATATGCTGGCATTTGTCTAATCTACAACCTATTACCAACTTGAATATAAACCTTTATCTTTGTGTAGCAGCTTTCAAACTCGGTCTCTTGTTAATTTTCTGCTTGTTCACTTCCATCAAAGATCTATCACAGATACAACCTGGAAAAGGATTAGCATAAAAGTTTTCTTCTAATCTTGGTAATTCTCCAGCTTGTCTAAGGTAAGGAGCTCCTAATCTGTTGGAATGTAACGCCTTGATCTCTGAAGCAAACTCTTCCCAAGAGATCGCACCCTTATCCAACAAATCAACCAATCTTACAACATTGTGTCTGAAATGAAGAGAAATACCAAAAGAAAATTGTGAGTTTGGTCAAATCCTAGATAATTTAAGTAATGACAAAGGAAGTATGAAAATCTTAATATAATAGTAACCTGTCGGGGTTTATGGTCTTTCGAAATCCTTCAAACCTTCTATGCCCTTGTACGGCCTTTGCCATATTACCATCATACGTATAAACAAAGACGTCACTTTCAAGGGCTACGAGATAATCTAGGGCAGCAAGACGGTTTTGATAATGCCTGAAAGCCTCAAGTTCTTCCTTTGTTGTAAGAGTTGAGTGAGAGAAAACATTGGGATACTCTTTCCGAAACGCATCCATACTGTTGTTGCCATAAATTTCCCCAGCGACGATATATATTCTAGTCATGGAAGGATAGCCCATTGCTTTAAGAAACAATGCAGCCTCCCTAGGAGACATAGGGCAGCCCCCTTGCAGTCGCTTCTCATTGCCGTCTATCTCTTTCTCTTTCCAGTGCTTCACTTGATACCTCATAATACGAAGTTCCTCAGCCTCTTCAGCAGTCAAATTGTTGCTGCAGCCAGTAAAGGCTAGCATGTCTTTTTCATATCTGCATACATGCTAAGTAACTTATCCAAAGATGGAATTGTTGAGAAACTGACGAAGGGACGCCATGTTAGAGAGATTACCTTAAGTGGAGAGCAATGTATGGTTCACCATTATCTCTAAGTCTATCGAGCAACTTCTTTCCAAGCTCCTCAATCTCATTTGTGTACCGTAGAGCCTCATAATTTGCTCGACAGCGAAGCCTCTGAATAGAGGACGCCAGGCCATTGTTAGCAAGCCTTGAATCTGTGTGGGTAAATTGTATCACCTTATGCTTCTTTAGTAAAGAAAGAATCTCTCTTCTATAGTAACTAGCCTGCAGAAAAGCATCAAATTTTAGTTCCAACAAGCAAAAAGTTTTAGCATTCTAACTGCAGTTCTTTTTACAGACCTTTGACCAAGACACAGGTGCTTTCTGAAGGGGGGTCACAGCTGCATATTTTGGTGGCAAAGATTCAACAATCTCAATGTCTTCTCTTAAAACGTCAATGAAGCGTCTCCAGTCAAAAATATCTTTAAAATCACTGCAACAAATGGAAAGGGATTAGAACTAAAACAAAAAGGTTCCGAGACGTGTCATGCTCGAATCTAAACTGATCAGAAGAACTAAAGAATTGAACCTGGGATCTGTCCAAAAGGATTCATGATCAAGGGAAGGAAGAACCAGAGTGGCATTCAAAATCTTTGCAATAGCCACCATATCACATATCTGCAGTAATCCAACAACAATTGTTATAAGGCTTAATAAATTACATCTCCACATTAGCTTGAAATATGGAATAAACAGCTTGAAGCTTCACTCACCCCTGTTCTCATTTGGTTTAATCCTCCATTGGCATGAACCAAGATATATCCATTGGTCGAAGAGCCAGTTCCTAAAATATTCCAAATGTAAGCATACACAAAGTAGGAATGAAACTGATCCATTTGGAACAAAGTGAATATTGAGGATTCAAGATCTAAAAGCTTGACATACTTATTCGATTCCTAGGCCGAGCAATGCATTTGTAGTAATTATCACTAGATGGCTTCATCCATATTTCTGGTACCTGTCCAAAACAATCAAGTATTGAACAAGTGCTTTAGATATGTCAATCAAGCCTAAAAATTGCGAGTAATCGAAACGAGAAACCATATCTTGCTCAATGCAAAACATCTTCCATAAGCAATCAACTGGAAATAGAGTAGTAATGAAGGTTCTAATTCAGGAGATTTACTGAAAAAGCTAAACAGAGAACAGTAACTTGAACTAGAGAAAGTCAATATCTCATTTAATTAGCCAAAAAATAAACAGAATATCCAACATACTTGGTCCAGAACGGTCACCTAATCATTCCCTAAAGCCAGTTAGCCATTGCCCACATACAACCTTTAGCTTTATTGCTGCCTACTACGTCCATCCTTCCAGGTAAAACAATTATCAGAAAATGTGCCAAACCTAATTTTATCCATAAAAGTTAAAAATATGAAAAATAAAATTGTTACATAAGTTTCATCCTGAAAATTATTATTTCTAAAAATTCACCTTTTTAAGAAGTATGTCAAGCTTTGGACTAAAATGCAGAGTAAAAGCTGGTTTTTTTCCATGACGGTGGTGTTCAAACCAACTAGCGCGCACCTCAACTATCGCACCGGGTACCAGATAACTCCAGCACATATACCGGGTAATATTTTACATGAACACCAAAAATAGGTAATATTTTCACTATTCTAACTTAGAAGGAAAAAGGTAAAGCTAAAAAAAAAAGTAAAACTGTGCGAAAAAGAAAAAGGTAAAACTAAAGAGAGAAAGAAGTGATTTTGCACAACTTACGGGTAACTCCTTCATCTGACGTTTTTGCACAACCTCAGAAGCAGAAAAGGCAGTGGTCTCTGTTTCAGAAACAACTCTTTGAGCATTAATCCAATCATTCTTTAAATTCTGAAGAACAAAAAGTCCATTATCTCTCCTCATGAGATTCCCATTATTTACATCCTCAACATTACCATTCATCATAATAGAAAACTTGAGAAATACAGATAAAACCACCAAAACCAATAACAACCCAAATATGGTACGAACCATATTCTTTCTTGATCCTAAATATGCCATAATTGTACCAATACTTAATAAACATTCTTCTACTCTAAATACAATACTTTCTGGCACCCATTTACACGCTAATAAGTAACGTATTATCGAATTATGATGGTGATGGTGATAATGGTGATGATGAACGTTTCCACCGGCGTTGATATTTGTATTATTATCACCATAATAATCAAGCCCGATTTGTAAATGATCTGATAATTTTTCGGGGTCGTTCATGGTGTCGGCGACACGGCGGCGGTGGTGGGTGGTGGGTCCGCCGCCCACTCGGGGACTACCGCTGGCGGAATTGGTGGCGGTGCCACCGGTTGACATTTTATAAGTAGTCTAAACACAGAACCGAAGAAAGTCAAAAGAGAGAATTATGGGTCCAGAGAGAGGGAGGGGACCGGAGAAGTTTTCCCAGTTTGTGAACCATAGGTTTGTTTGTGTATATAGTGGCGTCGTACGATTTACGAGAGGAAGATTTTCGCAAGGGGAGGGGAGGTGTTGCCGATTGTGGAAGTGGTTCAAGTTATAACGCTTTTGTTTGTAGTTTTTGTTTGACAAAACACAAATTTAAAAGAAAAAATATAATAGGACTCTTTAAATATAGACCAAAATATGTACAAATTGTCAAAAAAAAAAAAAGGGATAGATCATGTCAACATCTTACTAGAACTTATAGAGTAAATATGTCATGATATTTTTATGGATATAAAAATATATTAATATGGATAAAATAAAAATATTTAAAATTAATGATTTTTCACATATAAGAAAACGTTAGTATTCCTTTAAACAAACCAAAAGTAAAAACGTCATATTGAGTAGAACATGGAGTAAAAAAAACGAACAAGGAGTAAAAAAGTTCTCAAAAATAAGAAATTATGTTGAAATTCCTTCTGTCTCAGTTTAGTTTGACAAGATATGGAGTGATCATAAGAAGAAGAAAAATCTTTCGAAATTTATAATATAAAATAAGTCATGAAATTTTGATTCACTATAAATTGTTGATGTATAAAATGAGAAGTTTAAATTAAATTATTTTTATTAAAAGAGTAAAATATTTTTTTGAAATAAACTAAAAAAGTATACGCTTAAATTTAGACGGAAGGAGTAATATAAGTGTAGATAGAAACAAAAAAGACAAAGAATTAAATCACCAGACGTCACTTCAACCAACGTTTTAATCTCACGGGAATAGTAGTTTGTGAGGAAGTAGCACTTGTTTTTATCCTATGAGGCAATCAAGTGAGTGTTGGAATCATTGGGCTAAGTACGGTTTGTCTCGTTTAAGAAAAGTTACATTGTAAACGTTAAAATCCTGATGAAATGGTTTGTCTGAAAATGGACCTTTTTGAAAATGAATGCGATAGTATCTACTTTAATTTCTCCACTGAGATTAAAACGTTGGTTGAAGTGACGTATAAAGATTTAACTTTTAGCTTCTTCTTTTTTTTTTAATTTTAAAATTACTATATACTATAAAATATAAAATTTATACTAAGCAAGGGAAACGTGCAGGGTGGTTCTTGAGTTCTAGCTTTTGTATAATTTAGGAGGAAAATGATTGCTTGTTGGAGGTGATAAGAGAGGTTACTTTGAATGTCTACCAAAAATTTGTTCTTTCATATATTGAGGAGATTCACATGTATATTGCCACTGGCAGTTAGTACATTTTTTGGATAATAAGTTGAAGAAATTTATGTCTAGAAAAAAGGTACAGCAATGTATGCCACATATATTGTTTTGATTTCACATAAGCAATAATGCATTGTTAGGACTTGGAATTCTTATTGACTTGAAAGAAAGGATTAACAATGAATATTTTTTTCATCCAGTAGTGTTAAAAATAGTACCATACAGAGAATTTGATAGCCGTCTGACTTTCTATTTTACCAGTTTGATAGATTCAAACCATTAAAATGGATTCCATTAAAATATATGTAAAGTTGATATTAAGAAGGAATAAACGACCTTTCACAAAATGGAATCTCATGTGTGCGAATCCACCAGTAATTTAATTTCTAACTCTTTACCCTTTTTGGTTATTCCTTTTGGATTGACAAACAAGAAGAGGCGGATCGGGTTCCTTATACTGTATATCTATATTAATAAATTATTGAATATTGATAAATATATATAACTTAAGATCGTTGTAAGTCAGTCGAAGTGATTTACTCATAATCCGTGTGAAAATAAACTTAAATGCATTATTTTTGAGATATAATAATTCCTTCCTAAGGGTTTTAAAGGAAAATTTCACTTGTAATTGGCTAACTTGCAACTACGTTTCTTTTGGGGATATATCATATTTCCTTTTTCCTTTATTAGGAAAAATTGGATTGCATTTAGACACCTTTATCACTGATGAATTTTTTCTAATCTTCACCCTTCTAAAGGATGTCTCTTTCATATAAATGCAAATTCCGTATAAAACAGTATTGACAGAGCCCAAAAAAAGAAGAAAAAAAGAGAGTTTATTTCAAGCTTGTTTTCCTATTTCAACGTCTTTATAGTTTCTTTATTTGTTTATTAACTAAAGATAAATCCTGGAAACATGTTATTCACAGCTTGAGCAATTTTGGACGTTTGCAAACTTGATAATTCCGGATGTTGCAAAAGAGGACAACCATATATGCATATATAGTATGAAAAACTTGTTAAAAAAGATAACTCAAGTGTTATAGGAAAGTGGGGAACAAATTTTACACAAGACGTTTAGTTGAAAACTAAGTTGTGAATTGGATTTTCTAATACTTTTGGTAATGACAACTCAATCTCGAGACCAAAAAAGTTGCATATTCTGATGAAAGGCTCCTCTTAAGGTGGCTTATACCAAATTAAAATCTTGTTATGTTGAACAAATTATAAACTGAAATATACTAATCAAAGTTGTTTAGTTTGACTAATCTTTAGTACTTGAGACGTGCAAAAGTGAGAGATTTTATATGGTTTCATTTGTTATTCTGTAAAGTTATTCAATAAACTATAGTACTTTCCTATTTCAAATTTATGTGTTATAATGTGACTCATCAAGAATTTAGAGAATAATTAAACTTTTTGAAACTTGTGGTATTAATTATATCGTAACATTTCTATAATTATAAGATATTTACAAAATAATTTTAAATATACAATAACAATTGTGTGGCTAAATCTTCAAATCCTGTCATCCCTAACTATTCTTCTACTCTGGGCAGTTTTTTTATCAAGGATAAAAAGAGAAGTCAAAAGTAAAATATTTTTAAATATCAAAAGGGAGAAAGAGTGTAATATTTGTTATGAAGAAGGCACACCAATTTGTCAGAAAACAATTGTTATAAAGTAGGTTTTAACAAGAAATAAACATTAGAAACATTCCACTTGTCATTGCAATATTTATTTGATTATGAAAATACTATCTCTCTCTTCTTATTCATGGCCACTACTGATTTTGGATTTCATGTTTGAATAGTTCTAAAGAGACACATGTCCAATTAAATAGTTCATGTATCCTTCAATAGTGGTGTTGAACACCATGATTGTAAAGGGTTATGGACTACCATAAACAATATGCGATCCCGTAATTTGGGATTTATAAGCAGTTAGGGAACAATAATTACATTTTTTATTTATCATAATGTATATAAATATCTACATATTTTTGTTGGCTTCCTAGATCTAGGGAAGAGTATCTGTATGAGACAAAACAAAAACACAAGTACGTGGTTAAGTTAAGTCGGGGAAAACAGAGAAAAGCCAGAATATCATGTTAAAGTCACAGGAAAATATCATGTTATGGACAAAGAAAATTCTCAATTACCAAAATGAGAATAAAAATAAATAGGATTGGCTTCATTTTCTTGTACGTGAATATAATTTAATTATGGACAAACTCACCAATAAAATATTTTTAAGAAATAATACTGGTATAATTATCAGAGGAATGTCGTAATCCAAAATTCTTTTGAATAATTAATTAACGAGCAGTCGCTTAAGCCGCCATATGTCATCCTAATCATCATTAATTTAAAGACTTAGAAGTGGTGATTGGCGAATGCTGAAAATGATTATACTGTTACCTAGTCCTTCTCATTGACTCATTGTCACAGCACTATGCTGACAATTACCAATGGTAAAAGTTTATTCGTACTGGGTCTATTTATTAGTAGATTAATTCGGTGCCGTAAATATTTACCTTACTAACGTTGTGTGTTATCTCTCTTTCTTGTAACAATATTGATACGATTTGTTGATTTTGACCTTGCATTTGCAATGCAATGGTATTTGACGTTTGTAACAACTTCTATCGGCAGAAGCATAATCTCTAACTTTTTAGTTTTCTATATTTAGTATATATCTTGAGAAATGTTCTTATAAATGGGTTCACATCAAAATTTCGACATAGACGGGCTCAGAAATAAGTTGGCTGTCCACAAATAATGAAGAGAACGCTGCCCTCTTTGTGAATTTAAGCAATGTGGTTATCAAATACAAATATACATACATTATATATCTGTCAATTATTTTTAATTTTAAGCGGTTGTGTGACCAACTATTTAAGTTAAGGGGATTTTTTCTTTCATATACACTATATGAAACCTTATTATCAAAATTGTTCCAGTTTTGGAATTTACTCGACCTAAATACGTTTTAGCTACAAAAAATATACATTCGTTTAAAATAGACTCCTTTCTTCTGTAGACTTCCTGTTTTAGATGTGCGATTTTGGGACAACGTATATTTCAGTTACAAAATTTAGACGCAATCATCGCCCCATAAACAAAGCAACAAATCTGAAGAATCCTTCTTTTACGCAGATTTCCTCTGATTTTCTATAAACAAGGCAACAAATTCAAAAAAAAAAGCTTATGAAGAAAATAATTGCAGATTAACGTGAAGAATTGACAATCAACTCTGAACATATAGCTATATTCTAAAGTTTTCATACCATTGCATAATTGCTTTCTCTACAATTGAATTGAATTTGGCGATAATGCTTCAGCTCAATGGTCGATGGGATAGCTTTGGAAGATACATAGATTTTGATATTAGCAGAATTATAGTCAATGAAGATACAAATTATAGTCAATTGAATACCGCAATTGCAGAGCATTTAATGATCGATACTTCTGTAAAAATCATCGAGATCAAATACACTGTCAATGAACGTTGTCCTCCAATGAAAATTCGAAACGATATGGGAGTTCGAGTGTATATGGAGACGAAAAAGGAAAATAAAAACTTAGGAATGTATCTACTGTGTATAACAGTAAGTGATTTCGATTTGGAATGCAGTATGTCTAATGCGAGTACAATTGCAGGTTTGCTCTGTTTTCTTAGTCCTCATGTTTTGCAATTCCAAGTGTTCTACAATTTTATTATATATTAGCTACAACTATACTACATAACAAATGTAGTTCAACTGTTATGTCTCTAAAAATAATTGAAGTGTAATTATTACATAGTAACTAAGGTTTGAAAAAAGCAAATTATGATCACATAACAAAATATCTACAAGTATAATACAAATTTAATTTCTGTCAAATACTG